TCAGATTGAAGTAAATTCTGACAACAAGGGGATAGCTATTGTTTATGTGACAGAAAAAAGAAGACTTTGATACTATTTTAGTATTTTGAAAACCATTTAGGTATTTTCTTCTTGCCAAATTAATAGAATTGTTAAAGTTGCTAACTTTAAACCTCTGGTCCCTTTTCCACTTAAAAAGTATAAAGCTATATAGCTAATGTGTAAATATTTTTAGGCTACCTTTTTGCCTCAGAAACAGTATTATTTTTTTTCTCAAGATTTTATTTTTAGTATTTTTTGTAGTTTACAAAAGGAAGGTCATTTGCTAATTATCAGAATAATCTTTTTCTATTTTTGCTTTGTGGTAATTCTTATAGTTATATTGATTTAGAATTTTGTATGAGAGTCAAAATACTACTTTCTTCACATTTTGCCACTTTTATGACAAATAATTTCACAATAAATGCTACTTTCTTCTTTCATCTAATATGCTCTTAAAGCATTATTTCAGTGTGATAATAATCATGTATGCCATTTCTAAAGATTTAAGAAAAGAGAAAGATTTTCTGACATAATGTGCCTTTAACTTTAAAATTACATTTTTATAACATTATAGTCAATTACAGGTATGTCTCTGTCGTTAAGCACACATGAATAATGTACGTAAACGGTTTGAAATATCCCGGATCAAAATAAATTACACAGCTACTTTTAATACTTTTATGATTTTAACAGTTAGGCAAGAATTCTGTGCATGGACTGTTTGCTGTTAAAGAAGTATACAGTAAAAACTCTGAACACCGGACCCTGTCTGGACTTGACAAAATGAGTCAGGTTTACAAAGATTTTTATTACTTTATTGATATTTATGATGTGTTTGAACAATGACTTTGTTCAATCATTTATATTTACATTTCAACCCTTTTGTCAAAGTCATATTTTGATTTCTTTTTGCAATAAATGTCTTGAGTATTATTCTTATCCAACTCCTTAAGTATAATTCAGAAAAGTTGAAATTTAAACAAAACATTGTCTGAAATATATCTTTTCCATTGGCTTTTGAAATATGTAATTAATGGCATTTAGTATTACTATTTTTGCATTAGATTAATGCCCAAATAAAGATAACTTCAAGATCAAAATTTTAAGCAAAACATGAATCATTTAAACAAAAGTTTCCCAATTCTTTTTTAACATTTTATATTAAAAAAAAACAAATTAAATCATTTTGAAAAAAATCATACCTATACAGGGAAAGATTCAGTTAAAATGAAAGACCTATAATTTAATTGCTTATAAGAAATTAACAAAAAGTAACCATTAAGTGGTAATTGAATATTTCATCTGTTAGGAATGTTATAATCTACATTAAAATACACAGAAAGTTGACTCCAGTTTTCAGAGGATTTTTATGCATGTTTAGACGAATTATATAATTAGCACTTGGAAGTGTTTACTTTAAGACCTGAGTCTTTATTTAAAAAATAAAGAAAACATACATGTAGCATTTTTTCTTGATCCATGATAAGTAAAAAAAAGTATATATTTCATACTTGTACAGTTTTATCTTTATATTGGAAAGGGAAGAAATGTATGCCAAAAAGTATGTAAATAAGATCTATACATGTACATGTACATACAAAATTTAATGTATAAAGAAGGGTGTGGGCCTCTAGTAGAAAGAAAATATTAATATGCCTTAGAGGAATCATGTTCTTGTACCTAAAATACTTATATGTATTGACTTTACTTGTAATCCAATGGTAACTTTACATTGAAAGTTTAAAGGTTGAATATTCTTTCATTCCTCTTTATGTTGTTTTGTTATTATATATTATTGTTTTTTCATACTTTTGTTTGTAAAATACTTATTTGTTTGTCTATAAAACAAGGAATAATTTTATTATATCATCTTGTTAAATTATTTTCCATGAATATAATTTGCTCAATAAAAATATATGTTGTATATTAGCGCAAAGCTATATATAAATGGAGAGGAAGCTATGACTTCATACACTTTTAAATAATTTTTTTTGTATCACGTAAGTTCACATTTTTGTGAGATTTTAAAAGTTTCTGATATTAGACAATTAATGTATTTGGGAAAATGATAAAATTGTTTTAACTTTTTAATGTAATTTTGTCTATAAATACAAAGATTGTAAAAACTTGTTAAAATGACTTATTACAAGTAATTGCAATAGAAAGATATGTATTTAATATTATGAACTAGCACATTTAAAGAGTATATAAAGCTGTACCTAATGAAATTCTTTTCATAAAACTTACAAACAGTAATATTATATTGTAACAAATAATCTTTATGGTCAATTTTCGAAAGAGCTGTAACACAGAATGTCCATAACAGTTATTTAAAATTACATTATGCGTCAGGAATAAATTGTTTTTCTTCATAACAAGTGGCAAGTATGTGCTTAGCTATAATAAAGTAATGGATTTTAAGTATATTAAATGCTAATGATCGGAAATTAGTAGTGCTAAATGTGTAATAAAGGTAGCAAAACATAAAAAAGAGGTATTTTGACTTCCATACAATATACTAAATCACAATTACTCAAAAAAAGTAAATGTAAATGAAGAAAAGAAAATAATTGCACCTTAGGGGGCATACAGTGTCTAAAAGACACACATTAATAACTTACGTAATCTGAATAAAATGTTCTGTAAACATAATATTTAATATGCGTCTATTTTAAGGACAGTTTTTAACATTTAGCAGTGATTTTTTTGCATATGCCATCCACTATTTAGGAAATATACAGACGCATTTCTCATACAAGTTTTTTGAACAAAAGAATTTTGTAAAGCACAGGCAGAATGTATAGTTTTATACTTTATTGTATAACTGTTAAATATTATGCATTTCTATTGTAAAAAATTACACATGCTTTGTTGACAACACAATTTAACTATGCAAGCAGTATAAAACAATGGAAGTAATTTCACGAGAAGGTTGAAAAGGTATATTCTGAAAAATGTTTACATGATTTTTTTTTGTGTCCCAATAATCAGTATGCTCTGAAAAAGGTTTGTACAATACAGTATAAAAATTTGTGCCATTTTGTTGTTAGCAATCATCTTATGCTTTATATAGTACTGAATGTTTGTTTGCATTACTGATGTCATCAACATCATCTTCGTCATTATCTTTTTACCTTTGTTTTGGTGATTTTTTTACACATTCACAATATCAGTATGGGTCATAGGATTTGCTGTGCTATAAATCTGTGAGTCCCAAAATTTAACCTACATGTCCGAGTTAACCCAATACTGCATGAGCATTTTGTGAAAAAAAAGGCTTTTTTCAATGATAAGCCTTCAGTTGCATGTTCTAATTGCTATGAAACTACAAAAGATATTCATCAAACTTGGCACAAATGTGGGCTGGACCATAGCCTTTGTAACAGCATGCTCAATCTTAAATTTCCTATTACCATGGCAATGAGGGGACATCTCAAAATTGCCCAAAATCACTATTTTGCGTTGATTTTTTTCATCCAAACTGATTTTAAAGTGCTGCAACTTCTCAATGGATTGAGATAGAGTCAAAGGCTTTTCAGTGTTGATTGCATGTTACCTTCTGGTCGACCTGAGGCCAATTTTAGCCTCTCTCAAGTCCAAAATTATCTCATAAACACAAACAAGATACAAATTCATGTTCAAGAAGATTTATTGTAAATAAAGACACGCACAGAAAAATTTCTGAAATAATCAATAATATCAAGATGACCAGTATTTAATAAAAGAATGAATGATACTGAGACAAACATTAATTTTGTTTAATACATAAAAGCCGCCGCTCAAAAACAATTCAGAACAAACTGGAAATATATAAATTAATCTTCAAATTCAAATTCAAATAAACATAAATGAAACATATTAATCAAAGCAACTCTGTTTCAAATACATGCATGCTAAAACATATATGAAACATATTAATCAAAGCAACTCCATTTCAAATACATGCAAGCTAAAACATATGCATAAAAAAATTAATAAACTAAACATTTCAAAAATTAAAGGTGGGCGGGAGCGGTTGAAAAAATTTCAAATGTTCACTGAACAAAGACGTGTCTATCAAAACTGTAAAGAAAAAACCGCGAGAAGACTATGTAAAGCTGTACGCGTAGTGATATTCAAATCAGTGAAGAAGAAAAATATTAACCAATGAAAATTATGTTACATTCGATAATTAGAAGATTTTGTAAGTAAACAAAATGCTATAAATCTTCTTAGCGATATGCATCAATCCTTTACAACCAACCCCAAACAGTAGCCCCCAAACTGCTTGGTTTCAATCCTGTGGGAAGAAACTTGTCAGTAATACCCTAACAAAAACCCTACTTTGTTGGTTAGTCTATTCCCTTTATTGGATAAAATTAAACCATCACATTTTGATCTGCCCATGCAGTTGTGAGTGGTGGAAGGGGGGGGGGGGTACTCGGGGCGTCCGTGGCCGAGTGGTTAAGGTCTTTGACTTCAAACCACTTATCCCTCACGGCTATGGGTACAAATCCCGAAAGGGACTTTGCATTCTTTCATGTGAGGAAGCTATCCAGCTAGCTTAACGGACGTTGGTGGTTCTATACTCATACAGTTGGCTGTTCGTGACTGAAATAAGGCACCGAAGGGAACCTGAGCTCTTCCTCCACCAGTAAAGCTGGAATGTCGCCATATGACCTATACCGTTGCGATGTGACGTAAATCCCAATCAAACAAACAGTAGTGATGGGGAGATGTAGGAAGGTAACACGCAAGACCATAACATATTTGGGAATGAGTATGAATTTTCAATTTAAAAGAAAAATGTTTAATTGAACTTGTCATATGAATAATATAAAGTATGTCAGGAAAATTATAACGGTCAGTTTGAACTGGGATATACGATTATCGTATGTCCCAGGTTTGAACTGAAAAGTAAATGTGACAACTGGAATATCATAGACACATAGTGCAATGGGCGATGAATGACAAAACCCATAGAGTTCTATGACCTAATGAGAAAATAAATAGCAGTATGCTACCAAAAGGCAGACAACAACAACAAAATGGCGTCAAAAAGAAAACCGGATTCGCAAGTTCCGTCAGAAGAAAGCGATCAGCTCCTGATTCGACCACTGTTAGATATTTTTTTATAGATTTGTACCCAGTATATAATTATATTTTATCAAAGAAAGAAATTATTTAATTCATTTTGTTTTGTTCGGGTTTGTAACATAATTTCGCGATGTTAAGATTATTTTGAAAGAGTCTTGAAATTAAAACAAAAAGTTATGTATGTGTACAGCTGTATGTTTATTTGATTCATAATCACATTTGATAGAAAACGCAAGACCAAGGAATTATCTAGTATTTTACAATTTAAAAAAAATCATAAAATAAAATAATTTGAATCACGGATTTATATTACAGGGATCGGACACTCCCAGTTAACCCTATATAAATGCTTAAATATCTTGTCGTGCACCCGATAAAGGTACATCGATCGATAATTTACTGGCGCGAAGCGTAAATGCCCGTTCGCAACGGATACCTACTTTACAAAATACCATATAGCTTTTTCATTTATTATCCGATTTTGTAAATTTAAAGTTTATTTTGAAGAAAAATACTTGGTTAATTCAAATATCTAATTTATTTTTTAAAGGTACAGTTTATCTGTCCGCAACGACGGTTAAAAAATTAACTTGACGAAATCCGCGGTAAATTTACATTTTTTTATATAAAAAGCAGGTATTTGAAATTTATTATTACGGTACCATAATACTTTCAGTTTCAAAACAAAAAAGAAGCCGATGTAAGTTATTCACAGATGATCAAAGATGCAATATTTAAGATTTGTTGGGTTATGTAGTCAAATTTATTAACACACAATTGTTTTACGGGTAATGTATTGCGGCCTTTACACCAGGGCTCATCCGGAAGGGCGATTCAGGCGATAACTTCGCCGTGTATATTCCAATTTCGCTCTCCCGATTGATCAAAGAGAAGTCAACATCGCCGATAAAATCTTAATTCCCAAATAGTAATTACTTAGCGATGTAAAGAGCAGAGATTGTATCCGCCCATATGACGACCGCTAATTATCATTATCCAATCACAGCGTCGCTTTATACTACCCTTCTACCTGTAAGCAAAGCGATAGACCGCCTACTCTAAACAGTAAATAATGAGAGCATCGACCCGAAACGGTATAATTGTGTGATAGTTTTGCGAGTTTAATACGGGATTTGGAAATAATTATAGATTGTTTTTTCCCGATTATCTAAACACGTGCAATCTTCCCTAATTGATATACACGATGCACTTCGATGGTGGGTTTTTAACCCGAGTAAAGGCGATGTGCAATGGACTTTTCACGGCTATCGTCAATTAAAAATAATCAATTTCATTAATGATCAGCGACCGGATTAAAAACTTAATCATAGTTTTGAATGATTTCAGTCTGTTAACATTTTTACTGTAAAATTGTTCTGTCGCTCACGTTATGGCTACAAGGCGAAATGCCGAAACCGAGCAACTTAAGAAAGTTACTGATTCTGATAGTTACACCTACGCGAAAATTTAAGAAAGCCAATTCGCAAAAATCTTGCGATTGGTATGCTGTAGACAGTGTAGAAATGCCAAATTTGACACAGTTTACGCACGTGGTCACGACATCCCGGTCGTATATCATGTAACGTATATAACAACAAAATTTGTCAGGAAAGAAGTGTTCTTTTTGTTTCAATATATATATTTGTTTTAATGTCGTAAATAAGAATTACTTATAAAGATATTACCGAAATTAACATTTCATGAAAATAAAGGGAGGTAATTAGAAATTAATTTTCTACAATTTCTCAGTCAAATTTTTCAATAAGAAATGAATGTATGTAATTTTAGTGATCAAATATAATGTGCACAAATGTTTGCAGCACATATTTTACATATTCTTTGATGTTTGAAAATTGTTTTATAAGCATAATTATATGCATATAAATGTGACAATACACCATTCAAGTACTTGAAAGAAATTTCTGTCACCAGAACAGAATAGAACAGATATTATTAATCAATATCCAATGTGACCTCGTCTTCTATAAAAAGTGAGGAAAGTAAAAAATATAAAATTGATTTTATCATCATATCTTTTCTTACACATTATTATCAACAAATCTACATGAAAGTATATAAACACATATTTAGAGAAAGCTTATAAATAGCTGATCAATAGATTATTTTTTTTATTCATATTTGCTGCTCAAAAACATTTAGATGCAATTGCCAGATCTACTATTAATTAATCTACTATTTATTAATACTACTATTAATTAATACTACTATTAATTAATACTACTATTAATTAATAAACTGTAGAAATATTATATGTGATGTTAATTGTGTTTATATTATAATTAAAGGATGTATAGCCATGCATGTTAATGCATACACATTGGGTTGTTTCCGTACTCCCTAATTTTCGCGAGGAAGTCACTTCTCCCTAAAATTTCCCCCCAGGATGAGCCCTGTTACACGTGAAGAAAATTTATTCATTTTTTAGTACAAAATATTGCCGAGATTGTCAATATTGCCATATTCATAGAATATTTAAATTTCATTCATCATTTATATCATTATTATTTTTTGTAAATCTGTTTTCAAATGTCGGTGCAGTGAAGTAGACAATCATCGTAACAGTAAAGTTCTCTCGTGTGGCTGTCTCGATTCCGGCCTTTTTAATGTCACTCGTATATTTTAATCCGTATATTTTAATTATTCTTTTTATTTGAATGCCTGTAGAAAGATATTTATTATACTTTTTAATGTAACGCTAGAAAAACAATAAAAATCTTTACAGTTTGAGTCAGTATTTTGCGAAATAAAAGTAACTGTTGATTATTTTTTACACATCGCTTAAACTTCTTTCAAGTTTAATTACTTTTGAAGGGGGGTAAGTGATAATTAAAAAACTTTATTTCCAAACTTTCATTACCAGGTTACATGTGATAATTGCAACACTCAAATCTTCAAAAACAAATATAATTTGAATGTATATTTTGTATATGCGCGGTCTTTAACTACAGTTCATGGCATATGTGGTAAGAAAATGATTCTGAAGAGGATATATATAAACACAATGTAAATCTATTTTCTTTATTAACATTTATAAATGAAATTGAAAATATACAACTAAATTTGTATAGTCCTTTCTCTGAAAAATGATGAAAATAAACATGTGATAAATAAATCATTTGACGTGAATTGTTTAGGATATCTTTGAAAAAATTATGTTTCAAAATAAAAAATAATATTATAAAACAGCTGCTCTCTATGCCAATAAAAGTTTCTTCCTTGCCAATCTAATGAATTCATCTATATAGGAATGCTTGTCTAGAATGATCCGAAAATATATTTAATACACTTAATAGTAGAATATTTACTATATTTATACTAATATACAGGTAATCAAATAAAAAATGTACAAATCATTTGGAAATAATTCACAGAAATAAAGACACATTTCAAACATGAATTTCTTTAAAAGTTTTTTAGCAATCAAGAAACGTTTTTTTTGCAATGCCATCATTAAACCATGTAAAAAATAATTATCTTATTCTGAATCGCGGTAATAATTCGTGCTTGAAGTAAAAGGGCGGCGAAGTGTAGAGAGTATGCCTAAACAATAGGCGAATATTTTTTAAATTAGGTACTTTTTAACTAAGCGTTGCAGCGTTCTATCAGCATATTTTCATATAATAATACTTAAGCGACACAAAATAATACTGTATCAATACATTCATATGTGTATAATTTTTCACAAAGCTGCAAAAACACCACATACTCCGGTGAAAATCTGTCATATTTCGTACTCCGCACGTTCCGCCATCTCATTCTGTCCACCTTTATCCGATTCCGCGCATGCGCGCGACGGGACTTTAAGCTAAACGAAAGTGTCCGATCCTTGTAATATAAATCCGTGTTTGAATTTAGAAATCTATTGAATTTCAAAGTAGATCTACTCATATATATATATATCAGTTATCACTGCTTTAACTGCTGCTTGATCAAAAGTTACAGGCTTGTTATAGTTTATGTGGGTCAAGCCTGATGTCTAATAGTTTTTTGCTCTTAAACGCGTAGCAGCAGTTTTTCTTGCGGAACATGCTATGTGTTTTTTAGCAATTACAATATATATGACATTTTGCCAAGAAGTAAAAATGTCAAAAAAGCAAAGGACTAAGTTCAAAGCTTAACATTCATTAGGGAGAGCATCATATTTGAATGTTCAGTCCTTGAAAAAGGCATAATTTCTCTGTGACAATTGATCTCAGACATGGAAAAAAATGGTCATATGTTTTTCACCATTGATTCAGAAATCATGTGGGGGTCAAGTTGTCAGTCACTTGTTAAGGAATTGTAATTACAGGGTAGTTATCCAGAGGAGCAGGCTAGGTAGATCGACAACCAAGATACAACTTAAAATATGTGTGAAATTGGCTTCCAGAAAAGCAAACAAAAGTTATTGAAATTAATTTAGGAGTTTTTTCATTATATTTCGTACTAACTACTTTGTATTCTATTATGTTTCCAGAGGTGCTGGACAAGAAGTTGGTCGGTCTTGTCACTTGTTGGAATTCAAGGGAAAGAAAATTATGGTGAGATCTCTAACATGCAGGTTTCTTGCTTTTTTATTTAAAGCAGTATGCCTCCACAGTGTTTTTTTTCACCAAAATATTCGGTGAAATTCGGCCCCATTCCCCCCTCAAAATAGTATGTTTTTTTCCCCTCTAAAAGCCGAAATTTCCCCCTCATATGGCAGCCAAAATTTGCCTGCAATGGATATCATTGTTTTTGCGTATAACTGCCGAAAAATGATTTATATTACGCCTGTAAGACTTACTCTTAAGCAAAGTTGTTTACAAATTGTTCCCGGGTATGTAAGGGGAGCTACTCACGGCGTCCCAACAAGTTTAACATGTGACTCTTTAAATTCTGCTGTCAATATTTTAGATCCGTATATTAAGAAAAAGCGACGTATTTTAAACTTGTGTTGCAAGAGTTGTTCCCCTTTTCTACTCACTGGAAAGAAAACAATGTCAAACAAAAGTAAATCTTACAGTGGTAAGTGATGTATTAAAATATGCATTGGATTCGTTTCTGTTTCTTCATTTGTGAAGAAATAAAATTCCCCCTCCTTTTGCATTTGTCCCCCTCCAAACGGCACGGACCTCCTTCCCCAAAAAGTGAGAAAAAAAACACTGCTCCAGATCCATGCTAATTGTCAATGTACTTAAAATTAAAATATTAGTGTAGCACAAAATACCCAAGAATTGCCCAAGTATGACACATATATTTACTATTAGTGAAAATATGGCTATAATATTTTATGTACAATGACTTTAAATATTACAGTCAGTTAAATGAAGAAACAATGAATTAAGACAAGCTGAATTATTTAAGTTCCAAAACAAAAGATTTCCTATAGCATAATTATAAATTTTATAAATCTTGAGAAAGCATCTAAATCAATTTCAAGTCATTGAGAAATTTTTTATTGCCTTTAAGTAAGTATATTGTATGATATTTTCAGCTCGACTGTGGTATTCATCCGGGATTAAATGGCTTTGCATCACTGCCTTTTCTTGACTTTGTAGACCTAGAAGAGATTGACCTCATTCTTGTTAGTCAGTAAGTAATCATTGATTACAAACAAATATTTCTGGAATTAAACAGGCAAAATGCTACAGGTGCTAATGTCATGGCTCTTACTAAGTTAAGATTTTTAAGTGAACTGAGATGTTATTTTTGTAGGTCCCAGGGTGAGCAAGAAAAAAACGGATAACACTTTTATTAGCCTACTTTATATTGCGTTAGTTTCTGAGGCATAATGTGCCTTTAAAAGAAATATTTAAGGTAAAGTTAAGTTAATTTTTCACTGGAGTGCACCTATTGTGAGAGCTATTAGAATAATTCAATATGTAGATCAGGTTTGTTTGTAATGAAAGTTTTCTAAAGCCTTGAAAAATTACCTAATGATATCTGGAGCAACGAATTATTTTTCAAAAGTTAATACATTGTACATGTATGTGATTGATTGGACTTTATCTATTCTTGTTATATTGCATGCTCCATTTGACAAAATTTTTGTTTTCTAATAGCTTTAATGGCCAACACTTTATTTGCTATTTTTGAAATTGTGCATGTATTTTTGTTGTTTTCTTGTTTTCTGTAGTAATGCAGATTTGATATGAAAAGACAGTGTTTAAAACATGTAAATGTAAAGCTATATACATACTACATTAAAAAAACAACAACCCAAAAACATTAAAACAACAATATGTTAATTTTCTTTTTAGCTCACCTGAGCTTGCTCAGGGTGAGCTTTTAGGATCGGTGAATGTCCGTCGTCCGTCGTCCGTCGTCCGTCCGGCCGTCCACAATTACTTGTGAACACTCTAGCGGTCGCATTTTTGCCGCAATCATCATCAAACTTGGTCAGGATGCTTATCTAGTTGAAAGCTCGGATGAGTTCGAACATGGGTCATCTCGGATGAAAAACTAGGTCACAAGAGCTAAAAATAGAAAAACCTTGTGAACACTCTAGAGGTCACATTTTTGACCCAATCATCATCAAACTTGGTCAGGATGTTTGTCTAGGTGATAGCTTGGATGAGTTCGAACATGGGTCATCTCGGATGAAAAAGTAGGTCACAGGAGCTATAAATAGAAAAACCTTGTGAACACTCTAGTGGTCACATTTTTGAACCAATCATCATCAAACTTGGTCAGAATGCTTGTCTAGTCAATTGCTTGGATGAGTTCGAACATGGGTCATCTCTGATGAAAAACTAGGTCACAGGAGCTAAAAATAGAAAAACCTTGTGAACACTCTAGTGGTCACATTTTTGACCCAATCATCATCAAACTTTGTCAGGATGCTTGTTTAGATAATAGCTCGGATGAGTTCGAATATGGGTCATCTCGGATGAAAAACTAGGTCACCGGAGCTATAAATAGAAAAACCTTGTGAACACTCTAGTGGTCACATTTTTGCATCAATCATCATCAAACTTGGTCAGGATGCTTATCTAGTTGATAGCTTGGATGAGTTCGAACATGGGTCATCTCGGATGAAAAAGTAGGTCACCAGAGCTAAAAATAGAAAAACCTTGTTAACACTTTAGCGGTCACATTTTTGCATCAATCATCATCAAACTTGATCAAGATGCTTGTCTAGGTGATAGCTCGGATGAGTTCGAACATGGATCATCTCGGATGAAAAACTAGGTCACAGGAGCTAAAAATAGAAAAACCTTGTTAACACTCTAGTGGTCACAATTTTGACTCAATTGTCATCAAACTTGGTCAGGAAACTTGTCTAGGTCATTGCATGGAATAAATCGAACATGGGACATTTCGGATGAAAAACTAGGTCACAGGAGCTAAAAATAGAAAAAATCTTGTTAACACTCTAGTGGCTACTGTTGTGATCCAAATATTCTGTTTAATTGGTCTGAAAGTTTGTTTTTGATGATTTCTAAGTCAAGATCGAACATGGGTCATCTTGGATGAAAAACTAGGTCACACCGCCCAAATATGGAAAAACCTTGTTAACATTCTAGTGGTCACATTTTCGACTCAATTATCATCAAACTTGGTCAGGATGTTTGTCTAGGTAATTGCTTGGATGAGTTCGAAATCGCATGTGAAACTAGGTCACCGGAGCTAAAAATAGAAAAATCTTGTTAACACTCTAGTTGCTACTGTTTTGATCCAAGTATCCTGGAAATTGGTCTGAAAGTTTGTTTTGATGATTTCTAGGTCAAGTTTGAATATGTGTCACCTGGGTAAAAAACTAGGTCGCACTGCTCAAATATGGATAATCCTTGTTAACACTGTAGTGGTCACATTTTTGACTCACCTGTCATGAGACTTGGTCAGAATGCTTGTCTAGGTAATTGTTTGGATGAGTTTGATAATTCAGGTGAGCGATCTAGGGCCATCATGGCCCTCTTGTTCATTCCAGCTTTCATTTGGACCATTGTGGAGGCCTGCCATATTTCCTGGAAAAGACAGGGTTCAAAGGTCGATGTTTTATGACTCATGCTTCAAAAGCTATTTATAGATGGCTTCTCTCAGATTATGTTAAAGTCAGGTGAGAGTTGTAGTTGAGTTGGAACTTTTTATTTTAGTACATTTGAAATTTCAACTTTTAAATGTAACTGAATGCTTTGATAGTTAAGAAGAAGAAAAAGAAAAAAGAATTACTTACTTTGGTGTGCATAGCTTCCTTGAAAACTGTGGATACAAAATTTGACCACAGAACTAGGGAATCAATGTTTAAGCTTAGTTGTGTTCATTTACATCAGTGCACGATTTTCTTGAAGATGCATTATCTTTTTGTTATGAATTGATGAATTTTTAAGAAGAACTAAACAGGGTAGTTAAAAATACAATCATACATGAAAATGTGTAAAAATCTTAGATTCTAAGTCAAATTTTGGGAAACAAAATTTATTTCACACTCAATTAAACTAACAATGAAACATAATTATATCAGGTTGTTTGTATGGACTGTGGGCTTAAATATTTCTCATTATTTTTTCCTTTAAAGGTCCTTCATGCCTCAGAAATGCTTTTTTTATTGCTTCGAACTTTTTCTTATTTTTGGTGATCTGTTATATATTCCAAAAGGTCACTCATTTGCCAAATACCTAAACCATGTCATGCTTTTATTGCCTTTTGGCAATTAGTGCTCTTGTAGTACTTGAATATTTTGTATGGTAGTCAAAATACTACTTTGTTTGCATTTTCTACTTTAATAACAAATAATTTCTTCATGTGATCAGCCACTTAAATGCTATAAAATCATTATTTAATCGCTATAAAACTTATGTAAGCCCTTTCTAAAGAAGGAAAAAATATTGGTTTCTTAGGCATAATGTGCCTTTAAGATACTATATCATGCATTGTTTGACTCTAATTCTGAGATTACTATATTTGTTTTCAGTAATATAGGAACAGATGACATGCTTTATACAGATAAAGATATAGAAAACAGTATGGACAAAATAGAAACTATCAACTTTCACCAGGTACACTTATCTCCCTTTATAATTGTCTTAGGCATATGGATATGTTCCAGAAATGTGTAATGGGCCATGTGAATCTGTCAATATGCATTAGGACAGTCCTTGGTTCTGGGTTTTAGACTGTTTTTTTTACCAATTAAAAATATTGCCTCATTGCAGAATGCCTCTGTAGCTAAATGTTTAGTACACCTTCAAAATGGGGGAAAGAATTATTTGAAATTTAATAATGAAATAATATATGTTTTATATTATCATAAATTAAAAGAGATTATTGGAGTTGACAATGCAGAAGAGTCTTGCATTTTGTTATACCAACATTGCATTGGGCAATGCCGTCTTTCTTGATACCTATAGAATGTTCCTAAGTTTATAAATCTGTACTACAAAACTTTTTGTTTTTCCTTTCTTGTAATTTTTCTAAATATATCAAGTTGAGGACAGCAATTGATTTTAGCATTATTGCTCTGTTTAAATAGTGTTGAAAATAATATGAAAACTTGAAAATTTTAACAGCATTATGTAAAATGTTAATCTAATTTACAGGAAGTAGATGTTGGAGGTGTGAAGTTTTGGTGCTACACTGCTGGTCATGTGTTAGGGGCTGCCATGTTTATGATCGAAATTGCTGGTGTAAAGGTAAATTCTACTGTTTGATTTTTTTTTAAGTTAACTTATGAAAAGTTCATATTTAACTAGGTTTACTATTGTGCTGTAACTTATGTGCTAAAATTAATTAATAAATTTCAGGTGTTGGAAGGGAGAAAATATTTTTGTGTTGCCTGTGAATAGACATCTGTAATAATTGTGAAAACATTCTCATTCTATTAATTAGAACCATCATTTGTAAACTTTGCATACTTAATGACATACTGAACCTTGAGATGACATACATTACTGAAATAGGACCTTGTACTTTTAAATGACCAATACCTTGAAGGTCAGATTTTAATCATTTATGAGATCTCACTGCAACTCTGTTATATGTCAACACATTAGGGACGAGGTCATTTACAGTATACAAATACATTTTACATTCTTCTTGCTTTAAACATCTTACAAAATGTAGATTGTGCTATTTAGTAAGTTGATCATGTAAGTTGTTTAATTTAAAGTAAAGGGAATATTCTACTGGATATTTTCAGGTATTATATACGGGGGATTTTTCATGTCAGGAAGACAGACATTTATGTTCAGCTGAAATACCTAATGTACACCCGGATGTTGTTATAACAGTAAGTAAAACCTATTTAACTCACCACAGTGTTGGAGCAGTACCTATAGACGCTTGCAGAAATCATGATCTCATATCAGAAAAATATAGCTTTTTTTTGTCAATTTCTTACATTTTTATGCCCCCACAAAGTGGGAGCATATAGCGTTGCACTTGTCCGTCCGTCCGTACATCCCGAAATCTTGTGAACGCAACTCCTCTTAAACCAGATAGCAGATTTTGCTTAAACTTTCAGGGATGAACAACCTTAATGTGTAGATGGTATTAAAGGAAGGAATTTTTGCTGCGACCAAATTTAATAGAATTATGGCCCTTTGTTGATTTTTTCACTATATACTCTGTAGAAATTTTGTGAGCGCTACTCCTCTTAAACCAGATGGCAGATTTTGCTTAAACTTCCAGGGATGAACAACCCTAATGTGAAGATGGTAGTAAAGGAAGGAATTTTCGATGCGACCAAATTTAACAGAATTATGGCCCTTTGTTGATTTTTCACTATATACTATGTAGAAATTTAGTGAACGCAACTTCTCTTAAACCGGATGGCAGATTTTGCTTAAACTTCCAGGGATGAACAACCTTAATGTGTAGATGTTAGTAAAGGAAGGAATTTTCGCTGCGACCAAATTTAACAGAATTATGGCCCTATGTTGATTTTTTCACTATATACTCTGTAGAAATTTTGTGAACGCAGCAACTCCTCTTAAACCGGATGGCAAATTTTGCTTAAACTTCCAGGGATGAACAACCTTAATGTGTAGATGGTTTTAAACAAAAGGAATTTTTGCGGCGACCAAATTTAAGAGAATTATGGCCCTTTGTTGATTTTTAGTTTTCAACTTGTGGCACATGTTGTCCAAAAAATATTTGACCTAGAGTCTTAAGATTGACAGAACAGTGGCGTGTGGGGGCATCCGTGTCCTATGGACACATTTCTAGTTCATTCTTTATCTTATATAAATTGGTGTGATGAGATGAATTAAACATTCTAAAGTTCATTCCATTGGGTGAAAAGGCTAGAGTTATGAAATGAATCATTCAAGCGCATTTTGCAGTATACACTGGAATACTAGTTTAGTTGGGTGCTCCAACACTTTTTTAGTTTCACTCAAGTAATATATACACTGCTTACCTGAGCCTTGTTTTAGCAGGTCGTTTCTATCAAAATTGGGCCATTGATACAGAATTTGAGATAAATAGTAAAAGATATGAAAATTTTGAATTTGGAAAATGATTTCAAACTATTACAGGGGATATTGAATGAGTGTAAGTTTAATACTGAATTTATTGAACGAGTTGAATAAAGTCATATTAAGCGAGCCTCTGGCAAGCTTAATATTTTTTCAATGAGTTCATTAAATTCAGTAATAAACTTAAACAAATTCAATATTCTATCAAGTCAAAAGATATGCATGGCTGTGCAATACCACGGGGTCGCAAAATCGGCATGGGTATGTGATAAACTAGTATTTTTTTTATGATTTTAATATTCAATGTAATAAACTTTTGTCCCATAGCCTTAATTAAAATGAAACATGGGTGACTTCAGTGGCTGACATGCTTTGTTCAAACGTCTTGCTTTCAGTTGTTGATGTGAATTCTGCTAAAGATATTGAAATTCTTAGGCTAGCCAGCTAGTTTTTGGAATATTAAAGGGACTCCACTGAGGGTTTCTGTCATGACAAAACTTGAAATATTTTTTCCCCAAGTATTACATACCATTTGAGGCAGGTCTTTACAAATATCTTGGATGCAAATTTTTCCAGGTTAATAATTTTTATGGTGCAGAATGAAGGAAAAATAAAAAAAGAATTGCAATCATTTTCACTCGAAACTAGCTAAAAATCATACAAAAAAAATCAATATTCAATTTAATTCTGAATAAATTCTATCATCCTTTACATACTTTTCCATTTTAAGTATTTCGCTTGATCTATATAAGAATTTCAAATTTAAAGTTTTAAGGCTTTTTGCCTTCAATGAAGCTCCTTTAATGACTCATATTTTTTGCCCTTGAATAATAAACATTGAGGAAACTTAGGGTAACTGGATATATTCCACTACATATAAAATAGTCATCAGATTCAAGCTCTACCAGTGTTTCTTTGTATTACTCCAGTACTGGTTATTCCCAGAAATGTTACTAGGGAATTTTCCAGTTTAGGGGTAAAATCAAAGATAAATTCATTTTAATAATTGCTGTCTTTCAATAACTTGCTTTTCCTGATACTTTTGTTTAATGTTGCCAAAAAAATTTACATGTATTTAATGTAAAAATGAAATAATTTAGGAGTCCACATATGGTACACATATACATGAAGATAGAGAAGATAGAGAGACAAGATTTACAGGGCTCGTACATGATATAGTTACACGTGGAGGGCGATGTCTTATACCAGTGTTTGCTCTTGGAAGAGCTCAGGAACTCCTGCTTATTCTAGGTAACTATGATATATACCATGTTCAAAAAGTACTATATACAGTATATTATATATCTATATCAATTTGAAAATAAGATCAGACTGAATCTCAGAATGGGGGAATAATGATATTTTATATACAGACCTGTCTTCCTATATGATTGTTTTTATAATTAAAGTTTACCCATGATGTTAAAAAGGACAGCTATCTGTATTGAGTAGCTTGGACAATTTTATAATATCTGATAATGAGAAATTATATGTATGTCATTTCAGAGCCAATTGTTAGAGTAACAAGTCTTTTGCATTTTGGCTGAAAAGTTCAGGAATATTGAAAACTGAACATGCTTCCATACTAGTATATAATTTCTATAAGTTTTCTTAGCCATATGTTTAGCTTTGTATAACATGTATAGAAGTTCTGTAAATATTTTTCAGATGAGTATTGGACCAATCATCCAGAGTTACACGATGTGCCGATATATTATGCATCGTCCCTTGCAAAGAAATGTATGAGTGTGTACCAGACCTATGTGAATGCCATGAACGATAAAATCAAGAAACAAATATCAATAAGCAACCCGTTTGTATTCAAACATATTTCAAATCTGAAGGTAATTGTTATATACATGCAATTTTAATTCTCATATGATAACTCTTTTTAATTTACATGGATTAAGGAATTGGAGTACATTACATTAACCTATTTGTATTATCACTTTGCTTAATGTTCTTATTCAATTTTCTTTTTGAAAAAAAAATTGTACATAATCCAACTGGGATATCAGTAAAGTGACAATATGCTCAGTTTTTTGATGTCGAGTTGAATTTGTAATGTATTTCGAAGGAGTCACTTTCGTGATTGACAAATAACCGATAAATGTTTAGGATAAAATATTAAAGCTACCTTAATTCTAAATAGACGGCCCCACTCTATTTTAAAAATTGAATGTTACTAATACATTTTGAACAATATTTATAAAAAATTTGGGATTGTTGATTATTTTTGCATATTGAGATATAGAAATGAACACAATTATGGCAAAATGGAATGTTATTTTGACATTTTCCAGTGCACTCAATATGTACATAATGAACATAACGTCACTTAAATAGGGCATCCATGGCAATGTGGTTGTGGTCCCTGAGTTCAAATCTCTTGCTTCTTGCTGCTATAGGTTTGAATAAAAGATTCTTTTATGTAAGGAAGTTTACCAGCTAGATTACTGAAGACCGATGGTTAAACTCTGTTGCCTGCTTGTGCCTGAAACAATTTACAGAGGGGCACATGACATCTTCCTCCACTAGTAAAGCTAGAAAGTCTCCATATGATCTTTAATAGGTTCATTGTGACACAGAAATCACAGAAAACTTCTTAAATCACCTCATGTTTTAACAAAGCATACATTTATTTATGCCAGCATTTTGTAACCCTGAACATCAGTTACTATGATATATACATTTGTTTGTGTTATATTGGATAGAGCATGGAGCATTTTGAGGATATAGGCCCGTCAGTAGTGCTAGCATCACCTGGTATGATGCAGAGTGGATTGTCAAGAGAATTGTTTGAAAACTGGTGTACAGATAAACGTAATGGTGTCATTATTGCTGGATATTGTGTAGAGGGAACACTGGCTAAGGTATGTCATACAGTGTATGTTAGATATTGTGTAGAGGGAACACTGGCTAAGGTATGTCATACTGTGTATGTTAAGTTCTGTACACCTCAAAATATGCAAAAATTAAAAAAATCTATCTAATAAATATAGATGAAGATCTTGAGAACTGGACAACTATTTGCAGTCTATGTAAAGCTTAATGCAAAATGTGGCCTTTTTTAAAGACCATATTTCTACCCTGTGAATTATTGTGTTAGGGATTTTTTCACACAATTTGTGGCATTTTATGTGATGTTGAATTTGTAGGTCCTCCTGCTAGATAAAATGACTTGACAATACCTTTTCAGTCACGGGACACTTAATAAATTTTCAAAGAAGCTGCATGTTATGCCAAATGTCAAGTTTTCCATCTATAAATTAGATTTACGTACAGTCGACTTTTACTCACTATTGAATGACATGAAATTTATATTTTGTTTGTGCCGATTTTAACTCGTGATTTAATTGATAACAAATGAATAATTTGGACGAAAAATAGGATTATGAATCATTGTATATTTAAAGCGAAGGATTTATGACACACCTTTTTTGTTAAAGCTTGATCAGATGTGATCTTGATTTTTGTCATTTCTATGCAGACTTTGACATAAAATCTTCAGCATCTATTCTTTATTAACATTGTATCATAATTCAGATGTAAAGTATGAGTAAGGGTCACTAGGGCAGGGGCAGTTGAGATCATCAACCTTAAATAAATTGTTTTTTCACTTCTTTGCTACGGGAACTGTAGAATTGTTTCATTGGAGGAAGATATCCAGCTACTTGTACCGCCTCCGTGGTCGAGGAGTTAGAGTTGATGACTTCTAATCCAGTTACCTCTCTGGCGTGGGTTCGATCCCCAGTAGATGCTTTGTTAGGGCGGAGGAAGGTAGTCTAGTACTGGTGTAACTCCAGGAACGAAGGTTAGGAAACTACCCGCCTATATGACTGAAATACTGTTGGAAAAAGGTGTAAAATGAAACAAACAAACAAATCAGCTACTTGTAGCTTAAGGGAAAAATGGTTTGGTGTTTCTACAAGGTACCAACTTGTGACTGAAAAAATTTAAATAAAGGAAGGCATTGTAAAAGTTTTGATTTATTAATTAGTTTTCTATATATATATATCAAGTTGTTGTGTTTTATTTTTTCTGCAGACGATATTATCAGAACCAGAAGAGATCATGACAATGGGTGGTCAGAAATTACCTCTAAAATGTTCCGTAGATTATATCTCGTTCTCTGCTCATACCGACTATAAACAGACTAGTGGATTTCTACGAACACTCAAACCTCCACATGTGGTAAGATGACCTTTTCTTACACAAAGTAGCAGTATATTTATAAGCAAGTGTTTTTAATTTTGTATCAGTAATCACTTATTGCTTTGTTTGATAAAAGCGTGTCATGGTTGTCCTACTATAAAATTGCCTCATTTTTTCTCCAATATCAGCTTTAGATTTGCTTTTCAATGACTTCATTCAGTACAACTACAAAGTTCATGTTACTCTATGACATTATAGAAAAGGAATGTAAACATTATTCACAAGCAATCTATCAACTTATTTTTAAGAAGAATACAGTCAGTAATACTTTCAATTGATAATTAGTGATTGAAGGAACACAGATCAATTAATATTTCCATGATCTTATGATAAAAATAGACTAACTACTAATTTCAGGTATTGGTGCACGGTGAACAGAATGAGATGGCGAGGTTAAAGGCGGCCTTGTTGAGAGAGTACGAGGATGATACAGAATACCAGATGCAGGTGCATAACCCCAGGAATACAGTTGCTGTAGAACTACACTTCCGAGGCGAGAAAATGGCAAAGGTGAGTAAATACATTGATATCTGTAAAAGTACACTTCCCAGGCAAGAATATGGACAAGGAGAGTACCTGTAGAACTACACTTCCGTGGCGAGAAAATGGCCAAGGTAATGTCTTGAAAACTATACTCCCGAAGCGAGAAAATGGCCAAGGTGAGTTCATACTTTGATACCTGTAGTACATACATTTATGTCTAAATGAACAACACTTCTGAGGCAAGAAAATGGCCATGGTAAGAACATAGTTCATACATGTGAAACTATGGTTCTAAGGTGAGAAAATGGCCATGGTTAGTACATACTTTGATACCTGTAGAACTACACTTTTGAGGCGAGAAGATGGTCAGGGTGAGAACATACATTCATGTCTCAAGAAGCTACACTTCCCATGCGAGAAAATGGCCAAAATGGGTGCATAGGTTAGTTTGTGTAGAACTAGTCTTAGTTATGAGGTGAAAAATGGTAAGGTTAAATAGTCCATATATTCATCGCTTTATAACTACAGTCTAAAGAGAAAAAATAACCAAGCTGAGATACATTTATGTAAGTAGAATTACACTTTTGACGTGAGATAAAGATAAATTTGGTAAGATTCAATTTGGTTTTTTTTGTAAGAAATATTTTAAATGTTCTTTGTCTGTAGATGTTCAGTGAAATAATTTAATATGTTTTTCATATTTCAGGTTGTTGGAAAATTGGCAGCTCAGAAACCAAAAGATGGAGATCAAATATCTGGAATACTTGTGAAAAGAAACTTTAATTACCATATAATGGACCCATCAGATCTCTCTAGTATGTATAAGCAATATTACCGTAGAAGCTTCAAGCATTATGTTCTTTGAATTATTGATAACATTTATTGCTTTCAATATTCCATTTCATTAGTTTTGATATTCAATTATTTTGACAGTCAACTCCTTAAATTTAATTGAATTTTGACATTTAACTATTTAAATGCTTTTATAAGTCATCTTACATTTTTGATATTCAACTTTGTAAACACATCTTTGACATTTAACTCTTCAAATTAATTTTGACATTCAACTAAAACACATTTTGATATTCAACTTGTTCACTAAAATTTTGATTTTCAACTTAAATAGATTAATATAAAACATTTCCAATGATGTCTATAATACTGCATGTTTATAACCTCGCTTTTCATTGGATAATTGTGATATTTATATAGTTTTATAAACACACCTGCTGTCAGTTTACAAAGAAAGAAGTTTGCTGTACTATAAATTTGTATAAATATTAATATAAATATTCCTGAAAGGTTATATGACCGTATATAAATGGTTAGCAATTTAATTTTAGCCACTTTTTCCAAACAACCATTTATATAGGGCCATATAACCTATAAAAAAACCTTTATAACTAATAATAGAACCATTGTTTCAGATTACACAGATTTAGCCATGAGTACAGTCACACAAAGGTTGAGTATAAAGTACACAGGTACCCAGGCGTTGTTACAGTACTACCTAAATCAGCTGGCCGGGGACGTAGAGAGGTTTGAATCTCAGAAAGATAGGACAGTGTTACGTGTGTTTAAAACAGTGAATGTTATATTAGAACATAAACTTGTTATAATAGAGTGGTTATCTAATCCAGTAACAGATATGTACGCCGATGCTGTGGTGACGGTAGTTCTGAGGGCTGAAACAGATCCATTAAGGCATAAAGGTAGGTATATATACTTATATTGATCAAAAGTGATACTTAAATTGAGTGTATTGACGTTTTTTGGCATGACAGGAAATATTTTTTTGACATTACATTTGACATTTGATGTAGTTGTGGACCAAAAACTTGTATGCAAAGTTTCATATCGTTTGGTCACTCAGTTTTTTTCAGAAAAAAAAAGAAATGTTTTAATTGTAAAAAATGGAGAATGAAGTGCTTAAATGCTAAATCAGAAATAATTTAAATTAACAATCCTCTTGTAATGTTATTCCATGTCAATAAGAATGGTTTCATTTTCCAATAAATTCTGTATTTTAAGAACTTTCTGTGTCATAGAACATGTGTGAAAGTTTTTTAGACCAGTCCTGAATTTCAGGATATTTAGACTCGAGAGCCCAATAAAACATTTCAAAAGTGCCATATTCTGGATATTATATGTTTTCATAAGCTTTTTAACCTTTTCCCTTATATAAGCGTGTTTCGACGGCTTTTTGCCCCCCCCCCCCTTTTTGAGGCCTCAAACAGTGAAAAAATGCCCTATTTAGGCCCCAAACACTGTCTTTCGTTTGAGAAATGTTGTTAAAAAAAGTGACCATTTTTTCGGCGCCGTCCCCCATCCAAATATTACATCAGGGGGTTGCCATAAGGGGGATGTGGCCCCTTCTGTTTGGGGGGTTTGAAGGGGGGCGGAGTCCCCCTCATCGCCAAGAAAATTTTGGACTTGTGAGAGGCTTAAAATGACCCCAGGTCGATCATAAGGTAACGTGTAACGGACGCTGAAAAGCCTTTGACTCTATCTCAATCCCTTGAGAAGTTGCATCACTTTGAAATAAATTTTGATGGCAAAAATCGAGGCAAAAAAGTGACTTTTGGCAATTTTGAGATGTCCCCTCGTTGCCATGGTAACAGGAAATTTAAGACTGAGCATGTCGTTACAAAGGCAATGGTCCAGTCAACATTTGTGCCAAGTTTGATTAGTATTGAAGCATTTTTCATAGTTTCATAGCAGTTTGAACTTGTAACAGGAGGCTTTTCAGTGAAAATGGCCATTTTTCACAATATGCTCATGGGGGAAAGGGTTAACGGCTAGTTAGTAAAACAATCAAGGTCTTTGATGAATTTTATTTACTTAATGTCTTTTAACAAACTGCTGTTTGTGGCAGCATGGGTGGTGGTTAACACATCAGACTAGTAATTTTTTAATCGCTAGCCACATGGGCTCAAATCCCATTGGGGGCAAGTCGTTGCTTCCTTGAGCAAGAAACTTTACTCATTGCTCATTACTGGTTGATTTCATGAATGGATTTGAAAGTGTTATCTATAAGCTTAAAGCTTCCTACACAATCGAACTAAAATAAATTCTGTATAAACTAAACTGCTGTTAATAAATGTGTTGTATGATACTTCATATTTGTAGCATTGCTTTTCATTGGATAATCATGACAATTAAATATAAATTGTTGCTATTAATTTATGAAGTTAATTTATTTTTTCTTAAATAAAGGAAGTTTGCTGTATTTTTAAATTGTTTTCAAGATTTTCGACAGGTTATATGGTCATATATGTTAACAGTTGTTTGTAATAAATCCCTGTTTTAGTGGCTTGGTTATATATGCAAACAACCATTTATATCAGGCCATATAACCTGTCAAAGACCTATATAACTAATGATATAAACTATTTCTTTAAATTATGTATTTCAGTTGTACCACAGGCTATCAAGGTAGATAAAAGTCACATACAGGAATGTTTACTTGAGATGTTGACGGACATGTTTGGCAAGGACTGTATCGGGAAACTGATAAAAGGAAACAACATATCTGTGACAGTCGATGATAAAGTGGCACTGGTCAATGTGGAAACAATGGTATGTCTTTACAAATACCAGCTTATTTAAAACCCATATTCACTGTAAGATCTGTAACTGTGTAGTTGAAGTGTACTTGCATGGGACATTTCTAGCAGTTACAGGAATTTACCCCTACAGATGGATTGATTTTTATGTGTATGAAATACATAAAGCCCGTATTTTTATGCAACAAAATTTAGTTATTGGGACCATTTATCAGTGTTACAGATATCCTGTCATACATGTATGTTAATATGCTGTCAATAAGTTATTTAAATTTTTCTAAAAGTTATCGAGGACAGGATTGTGTCATACATAGAACTATATTTGTAATCTTGTTTGGTTTCAGGATGTCAAGTGTGAAGACAGTGATTTACATTCAGTGATACAAACAGCAGTGTCCAAATTACATCAAGCCATCGCACCAGTAAAACCAATGTCCAGTCTGGTTCCCTCATCATCTTCATCACAGTTACCTACAGCCGGGGTCAAGCCATAGAAATTTTAAGGGAAAAAAAGCCTTGAAACTTCAACACATTTAACTATTGCTGGAGTGAAGTGATAGAGATAAAAGAAACTAGGAAATTGAATGCGTCAGTTTTGTTATCAATAGCATCATGTAACAAAGTTTATTTTATGTTACTGTACACTGTGCTAATTGGAGACGGCTTCTGTTGGACTTGCTTAATTTTGATGAATGGGACAGTAAAATGTTTAAATTTTGTAGTCCAAGTGCTTGCCACTCTGCGTTTATTTTAGTGCTATAGTTTCATGTAAGGTTTACATGATTCAAGTGACATTAAGCCCATTCAAGGGTATTTAGTGAGTAAACCAGCGAAAGTCATAAAAGTTTACATTTTTCCGTCATTTCTTTTCAATTTTATAATTTACTTCGCACGAACAACAAATAACTCAAGTGACCCCAAGAAAGTTTCTAAAAATAAGGATCGTAATTTACCTGTTATTTTCAATGTGTAATGGGTGGGTAGTCTTTTTATATTTAAGGCAGATTTATATTTTATCTTAAACATTTTTCAATATCACTTGTTGGTCAATCACCATTATAACAGCCAATCTTTTAAAATCTATACTTTAGCTCAATTTGACAATGAAAATACGAGCATAATTCTACTTTAATAAACTGTTAGAAATGACGGTATATTAATACTTGGTCCTCCAACATTTAAAAAAGTAGTGACATTGTTTAAAATATATTTCATGTTTATAGTAAAAGATTGGTTTCAAAATATTTTGAAGATGAATAAAAAATATCAAAATAAATCGTCTTAAAGTCTTGGAAATTTTGTAATATAAAATGTATTCAACTGTGTATTATGTAATTTCTAATGAATTTAAATCTAAGATCTGGACTGGATTTGTTTATTTTACGTTCATTAAAGTCATCATTTGGATTTTCATTTGTAACTTTATCATAAATCATATTCATTGTGTTAAAGGCCCATTAAGCTCCAGGAATGCCTTTATTTTATTTCTAAAAAAGTTTTTGTTTTTGGTGTCCTGTTATAATTTCCAAAAAGTTATCAATTGGTCTATTACATGAACCATCTTTACTTCTGTTGCTATATGGCAAATAAGTTCAGTTATAGCGATTGTGTATGGAAGTCAAAATAATTACTTTGTTTACATGTCACTACTTTTTTGACAAATAATTTTACATTCATTACTAACTACTTTCCAAAGGTGATAAATATTTAAAATGGTTACATCATTAAACATTACAAAATGCATGTTTATCTTTTTCAAAGAAAAAAAACCCCAAAAATTTGTATCTGAGGCATATTGTGCCTTTAAAAATCATAAGCAGTTAACCTACAATAGAAAAGAAAGAATGACATTGCTGATTTAATGGTATTTTGTTATATTAAACTGGTGAAATATACTATGGAAATCCAAAAAACTGGTCTATCACATTGTTTCAATAATCTTAGTCATATCTGGAGACTTAGTTTCTTAATCTTTGTTAAACATGCATTAACGTTCCTTAATAAAATATTCAATTTCTATTTATATAGAATGTTTAGCAATGATTTCATGCATGCACATACAGATTTATTTGAGATTTACAAATAACATTCTGCCTATTTAGGTATTTTGCTATAATTTATATTAAGATTAAAAAAAAGCTATTCTAACAACACATAATTATACTCCAGTATAGCTTTAAACCATTAAAGGCACATTATGCCTCGGAAATTAATGAATTTTTCCTTGTGTGGAAAAAGTGCAAAGATGTGTTTTTTAATGTTTTAAAAAAGAAAGAAAAAAGACTTGGAACATTTGGGATGCATATCGCCTGAAATTATGGTAAAAGTAGCAAAATGTAAACAAAGTATTTTGACTTGCAAACAAAACACTTAATCAATAGATCTATAATTGTACTTTATTGACAAAACGCAAAAATGATGGGTTTTAGTATGTGGCGAATGAGTAACTATTTGGAAACTGTAAAGAAACACCAAAAATAAAAGGCTTTTGAAACAGACTTGAGAGGGAAGGATGGCAGTAAATGTAAAGGATTCAGGAACAGTGTCTTACTGTACTGTTAACAAGTCCGGTTTTATCCGTACAACTGACTTCATGAAGGGATTTATGATAAAAAAACAAACAGTTATCAGGTTTTCAAAACGTTTTCATTATTCCTTCATAATTTCACCCTCTGTCAAATATACATAAAAACAATTTCAAAATAAAATTAAGTAGAAATAAATATATATACCAATATATTCACTAATAAGCACATCTCGAAGTTGCAGAAATCTTAACATACTATTTACATGTATATACAAATATACCCTCATGTTCAAAGATTTCATATGCTTGATTTAAAAAAAAAAAACGAGAGAAAAAAGTATCAAAATATTGTAACTCAGTAGCATGAAGTTTGATGTAATTATAAATTCACAACATTTTTTATATTGAGAAACTAAGACAAAGTATTTAATCAGTGAGCGCTCTGTGTGGCCATACCATATGTCATTATTTTCAAGGTTTCATAAGCAGCATTGTTTGTCCAAAACTTGCAACTTTGACAGGCTGCTTGCAATATCTTCACTCTGACACAGTATATGGACACACTGCTCGCCACCCTGTTGAAAGAATTTGACCCAATTTGCTATAAAAAGTAAACTGTCCAGTTGTAAAAAGAGAAAATCTCTGGATAAAAAACAAATATTGTCAGAATGACCAGGTATGTAACTTAGACCCAGGAAAATTCTTCTTTCAGTGGAAACATAACATTTCCTGTGAAATATGCAGCAACTTGGTACATTATACTAATATATTTGCTTTATTGGTACATGAATTGTGTAGAGTTTAAAAATGGCTTATAGGCCTAACATAGCTGGAAAAGGTAATTTGTTGTACATAACACATTGTCAATCTAATGAGACTTACATACTTATTTATTTAGATCATTTACACAAAACATACATACTTGTTTTTGTATTATTCTTCACAAAAATGCTACTTTACAAGTGGTTCATTTACATGCCATATACACTGAAGTAACATTTTAGTTAATTTATACATCTATATGGAAAGAAACAGAAGGGACAAACACTAATATATAATATAGACTAGTCACTATGCAAAAACATCAAGTTATTAATAGACAGCCTCCAAAATATACAAAAAATACTAATATATAAAGCTCACAAAGCCTGGAACACATCTGTATGGAATTGGTAGTAAAATTAGCACACAATTTAATGTTATGATAAATAGATATATGTATATAAATCTCTATATTGAATTTAGTATTTGCCAGTACATTATGTTTTTAATTAACATTTAGCAGCCAACCGTATAAAGCCTTGGCAGAGGTATGTTGATGCTTAAACTCCCCGCTGCAGTTACTTCCCCTGATCAGTACAGAAACCATCTGCAGCCACAGTCAAATATATTTTTCACTGTTACAGTTATTTTAGATATTGTATATCACTTTTCATTATGCTTAATGTCCACAAATGTATAACATAAACAAAAAATAATTTATTTTGGTCAATATAACAAATGGCAATCATTTTTTGTCACATTCCTTATGATTGTGTAGGTTTATAGCAATGGTTAAAGTAGCATTGCAAGCAGGCTGGCCCGGCGCCTAGACTGTTGGCCTAGACAATTCAACATTACTGCTATCCCTCTAACAGTTAAATGTAAATTCATGGAAATGTAAAATTTAAAATATCAAAAGATTCATCATGATCATGTATTAAAATGACCACATGAAAGACATAACATGGAATGGATAAAAGTTTTTAAATATGTAAGGAAATACATAAATCAGACTTTGCATTCAAGAAAACAGAGTGAAACAACTTCCAGTCTTTAAAAACTACATGCCTATGAGAAAAAAATCTAAATATCAGACTTAAGGAATATACTTTAAGTGTTAAATAAATGTATGAAATATTTGCAAGACATGTGATTCTTTACAGGTTTTATGCGAAATATAACCATAAACTGCCACCCCATTATCATGCTCCAAGTTATAACGCTTACCCAAGTATAACTCTAATAGGCCTTGGTAGTTAAGTCATTCCGGATCACACTCCAGTATAATACAGCTTTTTTTCTGATTGGTCATATTTGTGCATGTGATACATGCATTAAATTAAATGAAAATATATATACAAAGATATATATACTGAAACATTTCATTTGTAGACTGGATAATACTTTTATTATTCTGAACACTTCAAAATTTCTAGCAAAATATCTTGAATCTGGAGGCATGCAGCTTTAAGCAATGAAAATGAAAATATTAAACAATTATACATCTATACATTCTTCTATGTATTATTAGGTATTATATTTGAAATCCTGCCAATTATCATACAAAACTGCATCTCTAGGTATTGACAACAGAGTAATATATTGGGAGTGATATGGATTTCATTTCAAAGAAAGAAAAAAAAACCACAATATTTATGGTTACCATAAAATAAATTTAAAGCAAAATGTAAAAGAAGTTTTCATTGTGATCATGATAAAAAAAATCTCATCAGCATATGTCCAAGTAATCACCTGCCGCAGATTTCAGAACAATATCAATAACAAGAGACTAAATGCAAACAAAAAACATTTTAGCTAAGAACAAAAATTCTAAGTGAAATAACATGTACATGTAAGTTTACAATTAATGTAAGTAAACTGCGAACTAAATAATGATCCCTCTATATATGTCTAATGACATAATTTTAGAAAATTTACAACCATTTTTATTATTATTACTGTACACTTCACAATTTCATGTAAATACAACTAAGTCAACACTATAGTGAGTAAATTACAAACTCAATATTGATCCCTCTATATATGCCCAATGACAAAATTTTTTGTTGTAAATATTACACTTCACAATTTCATGTAAATACAATAAAGTCAACACTATAGTGACACCAATAATACCTTTAAACGATCACAAACAATTACCTTGTATATGGGTACTACCCAACATTTTAAAATATACAAAACAAAAAATGCTTGATGGTATATAACATGATGTATTAATGATTAGTTCACACCTTATAAAATGTAAACAATGAACTTTCAGTGTTTGCACAAACTGATGTTCCAATTGAAATCATCATTTAATCTAATCTTACAAATTTAGTCATGTTTTAATTTCTCAAGTCCAAAAAATCCATATCAAATGCATATCATATCCCATTTAGCTTTGATTTCATCTTCAGAGTCCAAAAAAAATCTACATCAAATGCAAATCACACTCCATTTGGCCACAATTTCAGCTCCAGATCAAAAAAATCTATATTAATTGCAAATCACACTCCATTTGGCCTCATTTTCAGAGTCCAAAAATCTGTATCAAATCTTTATTGTACTTGAAGTAACAAAGTTGCGTCAAAATGTCAAGAAAATGGTAGTGTGAAATAAAGAGGTCATAATTCATTGTTGAGAACAAAACTGATTCTATTGAACTCATTTACATCTCTAATCAGTCAATAAGAATGGCGCTTTTTATGAAAAGTATAAGATATAACATAATGTAGTGTGATATATATATGACATGTATATGATATATATATAAGATACAATATGAATTATCATGATATATATATATAAGATACAATATGAATTCTCATGATATTTTTATGACATATTAATGATATATACAATGATATATCACAGTAATGCCCTGGAAAATCTCACCAGATATATGATATGAACAAACTCTTACGTCAACTGTACAACATTAATCTTAATGGTTATTTAAATTATCGAGACAAACACTGGATAATGTTAAAACAAAAAATCTAAATTTTTACATCTTGCTCTAAACTGAGCTGCTCCTGATTATTCAAAATGTTACACATGTTACAATAAATTAATTATACAAGTATACTTAAATGGCAAGTTATATGTAAAAAGTTCTGAATTAACAATACCACACACAAGCATTTTAATGCAACACTTCAGCAATATCACAAATTTACAAAGATAATGCAGGTTGATTTTAAGCTAAGGTAAGTTTATGCTTAAAGTTCATAGAATAACATTTAGTTGTACATGGTTGTGGACATTGAATTTATTACATTAATTATTTAAAAGAAGAATATTGCACAATAAAGAGTGGATGTTTTGAGCAAATTAGAATTTGTTCATTTCATACACGACCATCATGACGATAATAAAAAGTATAATGGCAATTATCATCATAATGGAATCTGGTGCGATCAACCAGAGCGCGCACCGTCATACGGTCTCCATTCCACCACCGGCTTCTCTCTCATCGGCTGAACCGGAATTGTTTGGAGATCTTCGTCTAGTAAACTTTTTCTGTGCTGCTTCGATCTAAAATTATCATGAAAATAAACTTTTTGCTATTACATTACATTTTTTTTTGCCATTATATTACATTGTTTTTTGCCATAACATTACATTGTTTTTTTGCCATAACATTACATTGTTTTTTGACATTACATTACATTGTATTTTGCCATAACATTACTTTGTTTTTTTTGTTGCGATTAAATTACATTGCTTTCTGCCATTACATTATTTTTTGCCATTACATTACATTATTTTTTGCCATTACATTACATTGTTTTTTGACATTTCTTTGTTTTCTGACATTATATAAATTTTTCCCATTACATGCAATTGTAAGGGCGATTTAACATGATCAAATGTGAGAGTACTGGCCAAGTGATTAAGGTATCTGCCTCTCAACTCGGGTATCATTGACTCACGCCCCACATTTAGTCACAACCATGTTTTTACATAATACCACTATTGGTTACTTCCAGTAAATGAACTTAAGACTGGTTCAAATAAACATGTTAGTTTTTATCAACATCAAGCTCAAATAAATGTTTTAACTTTAACTTACTAGCCAAATATTGGCTATTAGATGAATGATTTACATGTATTGCTATGACCTTGTCTTTAAACATATAAAGGTTAATATATGCTGTGATAAAGTATACAGCATTCTAATACACTATATAAGGTTTATTAAGCTATACCTTACAAAACATTTTTATAAAATTCAAAAGAGAAAAAAATTATGCTGTTCCCATAACCACATGGTTGATTCTCTCTAAAATTCATAACATAGGATTTCTCTGTTATTTACACTTATGAATATTTTACATAATAAAATAACAGAATTAAATGTTCTGGAACAAATATTATTCTGCTTTTTTAAAACCATTCAGTAAAGATTTTTCACATGCATCAATTATCTCTTTAGGACATATACAAACATATTTCCTGCATACAGGTATTTTGTAATAGTTCTTTTTAAAAAATCAAACAATAATTTTTCAAACTATAGGCTGCAGATATATAGCTTTATAACTCTCCAAGCCTATTTCAAAATGATAGTTCCAATTTCTTTAACATTTCATTTCAACAAGTGCTTTATGATAATTTTTATTGTTTATTAATTAAAGGCAATTTTTTTAAAAACTTTCTAAAATTTTATGTTTACTTGAATAAGTAGAGTATGAGAATAAATGTACTTGAACTGACCTTATCACCGAAGTATGAAGCTATTGTGAACACTACAAGAAGTACTAAAGCAACATGTGTCCAAAACTTCAACCAATCCCTGTACCGTCTCCTAGAATAAAATAACATACAAAATTATTTTCACAAAACATTTCTTTAAAAACACTGTTCAGTGTATAAATTTGAAAGTTTGAAACATCATTTATGCTCAAACTGGCTCCTGAGTAAAACCACTTATGTAAGCTAGTTGGATAGCTTCCTCACATGAGTCCCTGGCAGGATTGGAACAACATTGAGGGGCAAGTGGTTTGAAGGCAACTGCCAAAACCACTTGGCCATGGATGCCTTTTAAACCTTATGCACATTATGTTTATTTTGGTAACAAATCACAGAAGTTATTTATGAAAGTTGTTTTTTTTTCTCCGAGATTAAGATACAGTCACTTTTTTTATTGTAGTTTTAAAACAAACAGATAGCAATTATATATTTTCATACTTAACTAGTCAAGGAAGGACCAAAGTTTCCCATCTGTGAAAAATATTTTCTTTGTTCCTTCCAATACGTGAATATTATCAGCAAAATTATCCAAATTTATGGAAATCACTTGTATACATAGAATAATAATACTGCATGTTGATAACCTTGATATTAACCGGATAACTGTGATATTTTTGTCAACTAAACACACGGCTGTCATCCATTTATGAAATAATTTTATCTTTTTCCCTAGTAAAGGGAGCATGCTGCATTATAAATTGTTTCAAAGATTCTAGACAGTTTATATATCCGTATAAATAAATGGTTCTTCACAAAACAACTGTCACCTAGCTGCTTGGGTTATATATTTTTAAAACAACTGTTTATATATGGCCATATAACCAGTCAAAAATCTAATAACATACATTATAAAGCATCATCTATGAGAGAAAACATACCATTCTCTGAGTTCACTTATATGTGTAAATCTATTCCTGTATTCCCGTGGCAACTCAAACTGTGACTGTAGAGGGAACATGACTCCGTGAAGTTCGGCCGGAATATTTTAATGTATGGATACTGTTTCAATGAATGTCATGTTATCATTCAAAAGATAAACTTCCTGTAAAAATATGAGGAAATAACAAAAAAATATGAGAAAATAAAATAAAAATATGAGAAAATAACAAAAAAAATTATATGAAAATAACATAAAATATGAGAAAATAACATGAAAATATGAGAAAATAACATTTAATTTACATCTCAACCTGTATCAAAATTGATAAAATAAAAAATAAATTTGTTACTTTAAAAGCACTAATACTTATTAACACAGGTTTTTGTGGCAGATATATTGACCATTTCTCTAGCAACCGAATCATTCCTCATTTTTAATACGCTTCCGCATTGCCGGAAGGGGAATACAGGAATGGCCTCCATCAAATTGACCCCTAAGTCATGTAAAAACTTATATCTGCTTTGTCGCCAATTTTTAAAGAAACATTCTGATTCAAATAATTTCATCATCATTGATGCTATAATGAGACTTACTAAGCAGCTGAAAAAATACCTTATAATTTATTCCTTATATGAGCCGCGTCACAACAAAACCAAGGTAATGCGTTTGCGACCAGCATGGATCCAGACCAGCCTCTGCATCCGCGCAGTCTGATCAGGATCCATGCTGTTCGCTTACAAAACCCTATTACAAGTAGAGAAACTGATAGCGAACAGCATGGATCCTGATCAGACTGCGCGGATGCGCAGGCTGGTCTGGATCCATGCTGGTTGCAAACGCATCATGTTGGTTTTGTCGTGACGCGGCTCATATTTGATTTAAAGATTAAAAACTCACTTTGGTTTCTTTCTTATATCATCGAGCTGACCGACCACCGTGGAAACATTTGATTTGATCATCTTAAAGGCAATCTCTGAGTCGTCTACTTCAACATGTCTGAAATAGGAAGACACAACTGGAATTGATTAGCCATTCCGTACACTATAGGGCAAGGCAAAAACCTGCACATCCATGCAATCTAACCAGGCTCTATGTATACTGTTGATAGCTCAGTTTATTCTCTCTTTACATATTGAAATTTCTTAAACTTCATTTTGATTGTCCCAAATTCAAAGAAGGGCAAATTTATTACAAAAATTAATTTATAACAGCTTGTAACAGTTAACTAAGATGCTCTTATGAAATACTACTTTATATCTGTGAACTGTGAATAGTTGACAATTTACAAATTTACAAAATATTTGTAGTATATTTATATAAGAACACATTTATACTGTTTTCTGGATCACATACTTGTATTTATTTTTTGGTGGGAAATTACTCTTCACAATGTCTGCCACTTCCTTACAGTTGATAAACATGTTCCTTGTCACCTGAGGCTATAAATAGAAATATGAAGCTATAAAAAGAAACATATGGCTATAAATAGAACTGCATCACTATAAATAGAATTGGTAACTCAAAAGTAATATTTAGCTGTCCAGTTAGCTTAATAGGTAGATACCCGGACTGTGATTTGGGCAACCCAAGTTCAATTCACAGATGGTGCAGGTCACTTTGGTTGCGATTATATACATTCACTTGCACTGTACCTTAACTCTGGCACATACAGAAGTTAACAGTTCCTTGCAAAAGTGAAGGACATTAGTACTGGTAAACTGCTTCAGATGACAGTCTGTCATGGAATAAAGCAGTGGCTTAACTGTGCTCTGGTAAATTTTATGTGGCTTACTGCAGTGATCCAGAGTGAAAACTACAAACACCACCACCTCCAAAGTAATTTCTTTTTTAACTTTGTTAATGTTAAATGGAACTCAAAAGCAAAGTTGTTTCCTGTACATAAATGCTAGTTGGATGTCAAAAATATGTAATGCTCAATTCATTAACTGTTTCCATTTACCAATTTTTTTCTGATGAAAATAACATTAAATCAGGAGCTGTACTTAAGCTAAAAGTATATGCATAATTAAAACACTTACCATTTCTTTTTCATAGTAGGTTTCTAAATCCCTGGCATTAGGTTGTCTCTGTTCTGATATAGGTAATGATTTTGAACAGTTGATGAAAGTATACTCCAACTTTGATAATGTCTGAAACAGGGAGAGAAAAATATCAAATTCACTATTCAGCATTTAAATGAATATGAGATAAATATTTTTTAGCTTTAATTTCTTTAATATTTATAATTATCAGCTTTTTTATATAAAATTGTTATAATTTTTATTCCTAAGTTAGTTTATATATAATTTATTTTAGTTTGATTATGTAGGTAGCTATAAGCTTATAGAAATACTCTCCAATGTGTTCCTGGAACCATTCAGCCTGGGTCGTCCAAGGTTACAATGGAATTTTCTCAGCTCAAACTTACATCTCTGGTATTTGATTGGTCAGAAACAAACACACAATTTGCACTGACTTATGAAAATCCTGAGGTCAGAGACAGATCTCGGAAAAATTAAAGGGACTCCACTGAGGGTTTTTTTTTACATGACAGGACTGGAAATAATTTTTCGAGATTTATGTGTCAATTGACTGTGCAAAATGTCAGATTATTCGCTCACTCCATTTTTCCAAAACAATCATTATTATCATGAAAATGAGCATATATTGAGAAGTGTTGCAATGCTTTTTTTCTCAAATTGAGCTACAAATAGCACAGAAATAGGATTTTCAATAAATTATTGATATCTTAACTTAATATCTTTTGCATTTTTCTTAAATATCTTTTCCTCAGTGGAGTTCCTTTAATAAATTAATATAAGTTCATCTAGATACATACAGCTAAATCCAGGGGCAGTTCATACAGTCTGGTGGCTAGTGTTCTAATCTCACGATCTGATAATATCCTGAAAAAAATATATATATCATTAATTTATATATGTTTGCTGAACATGTGTTTTTTTTTAATTGAGTCAGTGTTTTGTTACCCAGCTAAACACAAAATTACTATAATAGTATGGCACTCAAAAATGGTGGTAGTGGTAGTTTACCCTCTGGCTCATAGCAGTAAGCAACACTGAGTTTACCACAGTTCAGACGTTTACCATGGTAAAGTTCAGACACCATATTTTATCTGGGCAGGCTGTCAAGCAGCTTTCCAGTACTAGTTGCTTCCACTTTCACAAGGTATTCATAACTTCTGTACATGCCAGAGCAGAGGTACAGTGCAAATGACCATAGGCATGATTTCATGATCAACCACAATTGACACAACCTATTAAGGTCAAGTTAGGCACTCAAGTTTACTTCAATTCCCCCTCCCCCCCACACACACAAAAACTCCAGATATCTGATTTACTTGGATTTATCAAATAAAATCCAGATATTTGACTTACTTGGATTTATCTGTATCCATCTCATCAAAGACATCTGCTGCGGTAGTGTTCTGTTTCACCCCCATCAGGTAGTAAAAGTAAGCAAAGGCAAACTGCATATCCTTGGAATGTCTGATCTGATGAGACGAGGTTGCCTCCCACTCGGCTGGAAACCTTACAAATTGACAATTTTTTAAAAAAAAATACATGAAAAATAAATATCTGGACATGTGACATTAATGATATTTTTGTTTTGACATTAATTTTCACTTCTACAAAAAACACATGTCCACCATAATGTGATCGCTCTTCAGTTGTTAATATTCATATAATTGCTTAATTAATATACAATTTTTAAAGCTTTACAATTTAGCTAGTTTATATTAACAGGCTCATGGCAATACATTATACTTTTGACAGATTATTTTAGCTTTTTAATACATAAACCCTTTCAAAGAAACAGTAGACAGTGCCGACTTTGAGCTGGATATGTAAATTACACAATCTAGAATTAATAATATAACTGGTAATATATCTATAAAATATTTGAAGATGATAGGCCTATCTATTCATTAATATTTTTATACATTGCCAAATAATGGTAATTCAGTTATTTTTTTACCCACAATTTTCTTTTTTTTAGACTTTTTTTTCCTCAAAGGACTTATAAAGATCAATGTCACATAAGATCAATGTCATACCTAGTTTGTAGCTCTGACATGATATTTTTATCTATCATATGGGGCATATGACCTGGCACCTTCCTGGCTGTATAACCAAATGCTTTGTTATACAGTTTGTTCACATGACGTAGAGAGTCACCAAATGTGTCCAGTAAATGTCTTCTCTGATAACTGACCGACTGAAACCTCTCTAGAGATTCCTTCCTCTGTAATGGATATAAATTATATCTTACTTTTATAATAAATCTAACAAATAATTTTGTATTTAATTACATATGCTTAAATTTTGGCAATAACAAACATGTTTTGACACCAAAATACAAAAACAAACAACAACAACAAGCAAACTCACAAAGAATCACTTATGTTTTGCATTTGGCAATAACAAATATGTTTTGATTTTTGGCAATAACAAACATGTTTTGGTTTTTGGCAATAACAAACAGGTTTTGACAGCAAAAACTTGCAATCCTACTAAGAATCACCTTATGTTTTGGTTTTTGGCAATAACAAACAGGTTTTGACAGCAAAAACTGGCAATCCAACTAAGAATCACCTTATGTTTTGGTTTTTGGCAATAACAAACATGTTTTGATTTTTGACAATAACAAACATGTTTTGGTTTTTGGCAACACCAAACATGTTTTCACACCAAAAAACAGGCAATCCCTCTAAGAATCACTTATGTTTTGCTTTTGGCAATAACAAACATGTTTTGATTTTTGACAATAACAAACATGTTTTGGTTTTTGGCAACACCAAACATGTTTTCACACCAAAAAACAGGCAATCACTTATGTTTTGCTTTTGGCAATAACAAACATGTTTTGATTTTTGACAATAACAAACATGTTTTGGTTTTTGGCAACACCAAACATGTTTTCACACCAAAAAACAGGCAATCCCTCTAAGAATCACTTATGTTTTGCTTTTGGCAATAACAAACATGTTTTGATTTTTGACAATAACAAACATGTTTTGGTTTTTGGCAACACCAAACATGTTTTCACACCAAAAAACAGGCAATCACTTATGTTTTGCTTTTGGCAATAACAAACATGTTTTGATTTTTGACAATAACAAACATGTTTTGGTTTTTGGCAACACCAAACATGTTTTCACGCCAAAAAACAGGCAATCCCTCTAAGAATCACTTATGTTTTGCTTTTGGCAATTACAAACATGTTTTGATTTTTGACAATAACAAACATGTTTTGGTTTTTGGCAACACCAAACATGTTTTCACACCAAAAAACAACAGGCAATCCCTCAAAGAATGACTTATGTTTTGCTTTTGGCAATAACAAATATGTTTTGATTTTTGACAATAACAAACATGTTTTGGTTTTTGGCAACACCAAACATGTTTTCACACCAAAAAACAGGCAATCACTTATGTTTTGCTTTTGGCAATAACAAACATGTTTTGACAACTAGAATCAGGCAATCTCACTAAGAATCACTTATGCTTGGTTATGGCAATGACAAGCATGTTTTGACAACAAGAAGCAGGCTATCTAACTAACATATGCTTAGAGTCACAAATGATTTCAGCAACAGATCATGTCCGACTATCACTGAATTAGTAATTATAACATGTGTATATGAAATTATCATCACATTCTCCACATATATCCATCTAGTCAGTGATTCAGGAAAAACTCATCAATATTTCGACTAAACAAAGGTGTATGAACTGAATTTTTGCAATGTCAATTCATTCTGAAAGGCATATGGTAAATCTGGAAGCACAAGGCAAGTCGATCAAAGGAGACCTTGTACCTGTTGTACAAGGCGTACAATCCTAGGTAATACATGTTTTATTATAGACTTGTACAGGTATATTAAAGACAAGTGCACTGCATGTGGTGTTGACGCTTGTCTGTTTAAAATTCAAAGTTAGAGTTCAGAGTTATGCCCCTTGTCTCACAACTGCACTTTGTCATGATCAGTAAGTTTCTAAGTTTAATGTTAATGATCAAAACATTGCTTTCAGAGTTATGCCCTTTGTCTAACAATTGCACCTTGTCATGATAAGTAAGTATTCTAAGTCTAATGTTAATGATCAGTTTGAAAATATTTGAATAATGGGCTACATTAAAATTTTTGCATGACTACGATGCACTGGCCTTTTTCTTTGAAACAGACAAGCTAAAGTATGATTTAGAAGATTACGTACCTTTTGTAGTTCTGCAAGACTACCACTCTCCCAAGGTAACAACTTCACAGAATCTGGTTGTATGTCCACATCTGATATGAAACTTGTATTATTTGTTACTCCTTCATTATTCATATCAACCTCATTAATATTCATGTTTTCCTCATCAAAATTCAACAGCCTCCTTCTGAGACCATTGTTCACGCCTACTTCCTGCTCCTTTATCCCACCATTTTGTTCCTTCGCAGCAGCAGCATTCTGATTGCTTGCTTCGTCATTTGCTATATTTCTGTCTTTCAAGCCTTGACCTTTGACCTTATAAGTTAAGACTGGTTCAATAATATCTTGCACTTGATGACCTTTGTCAGTTAGCTCCCTTTGTGTATTTTTATCACCATCTACTGTCTGGTCCACAGACCTTTTGTGACCATCGGTTCTCAATCTCCCTCCTGATTTCAGAATATCACCTGATAAGCCCCTGACAGGCTTGTGAGTGACAATAGGTTTATGAGATTCATTGTCGGTATGGTTGTATTTGAGGTAATCCTGATAGGTCAACCATAGTGACCTCAATCTTATACTATACCCTGTTTCTGACAGCTCCTCTAAAAATAAAAGCTCTAAACATTTAATATACTGCTGTAAATATATAAATATTAAAAATTTTGAAAAAAATATTATTTTATAGATAATTAAGTAAAATTACATGCTTTTTCTATTTAATATTATATCTATTAGAAATAAACTCATTTCTTTTTTCAGAAAATTTAGCTCAGGAAATATAGATCAAATTATATCATAATAAATCTTTAGCTAATATACAATTATATACTATCACATATTAAATAAGCTAAGCTGAGAGACCCATGTATCTCATCCTCCAGAATATTTTTATTCTCTTTACTTCTAGAGGAAGACCTCAGGAGCTAGCTGGTAAGCTTCCTCACATAAAAGAACCCAAAGTCCTTTGCAGAAAAGCTAAACTTGAGCAAATATTCTTATAAATAGAAGAACTTCAGGGACCTTGACTTAAATTTGTGACTTCAAATCACATCCATTTGTATTCTTTTATGTGAAGAAACTATCCAGTGTGCCTTCTTCTTCTTGGGTTTTATGCTTCACCAAAACAGTAGTCTTTGGCGACTTTCCAGCTTTACTGACAGAGGAAGACCTTAGATGCCCCTCCGTGCATTTTTTCAGGCACAAGCAGGCACCTCAGTAGAACCACAAACATTCTGTAAGCTAGCTGGATTGCTTCCTTGTATGAATAAATCCAAAGTCCCTGGTAGGACTTGAATCCACAGCAGTGAGGGGCATCAAGGACATTGATTCTACTCAGGTGCCCATTTGTGTAAG